ATTACTTGAAGAAGATTTTACCAACTCTAGTAATTCACACTTTCATTCAAATTCTAATGAGGTAAAGGAAGCATAGCTCTCTTACATCATACTACACTGCAAGTGGATGGTGTGTTTTGTTGAGTTTGTGTCAATTATAATCATGATAAGTAATGTTAACTGCAAATGTTGAAAGGTAAATCTAGTTAGATTCAATAAATGGATTTAAACTCCAAATCTATGCCATGTCATTGATCAGAGGGACATTTCTCTAACATACATTTGAACTTTTGAGAAAATGTTACATGATCATGTTGTTGGTAGGTGTCTTGTAAACTATGCATGTAGGCCATCAATAGAAATATCAAATCACTCCACTAGTTATAATTTGATTATAATCCTACTGATTAAGATTGTCTCTCAATCTGACAACTGTAGTCACTAAATAAATAACGCACACCAAATGTTGATCTGAGTGAACGAGCATTAGGAAACAGCAATGAGCAGAGCTGACCTGAAGAGCGACAAGCTGTAGACTTGTTGTATGTTGATCTGTCAGTCTGCCTGTGTTACCCAGCTACAACCAGGCTTCATCTTTCCAGTGTGCCACTCCAGTTAAGCCAGTTTGATGAGGGGGCTAAGCCTCAGGTCAGGCTCCTCAGGACAAGTCATCAGCGCCCGGCTTAAGAGAAGAACTTGAGCCACTCCAAGTTACACTCTTTTGATTCACTAGTGACCAGTCCCTCTCCCTCTCTCTCTCTCTCTCTCACACACACACACACACACACACACACACACACACACACACACACACACACACACACACACACACACACACACACACACACACACACACACACACACACACACACACAGCCAGTATGTCTCTGCTGAGTGTGTCTTACTGTGTCACATGAGAATCCAGTGTGTGTCCAATCACATTACAGCACTAACAATGTTACCTCAAGGCGAGGGCAAACACTCAAGTGAACCAGAGATGTGCCACTACTGATACTTGTACTACTACTTAACTGTAAGCCTACAATTACTGAGACTACCGCTACTGTTACTAATAGCCTGAAACCTTATTCTAGAGTCCCAAATCCTTTTGACTTGTAAGCAGATCGTTTGTACTTTTTTCATACTGGTGTCAATAGTCTCAGAGTTTTGGTACCAATACCAAGACGTATGGTCAATTAAACCTTTTTTTTTTTCCATTTTCCAAATCAGAAACTGTCTGATATAAGAATAGGTAAACAAGGTCACAAATCTAACCCACAATTCAATACCAGCTTTAGTACTTTCTGATATTCTGTGATATTTTGGTCAGTACCACAGAAGTACTGAGCACTTCAACTTAAAAATGTCGCACTCATTACATATCTTGGTTTCAACTCACTGCCTATGAGTTGCAAGTACTTCAACTAATGAGCTACAGTATGTTCACGTCTCAGTCTGTCTCTGTCGGTTTTTAGAGGCAAACCAGTGTTTCACAACAAAACAAAATAAGGAAACATCGTGTTCTTAGTAAATCTGGCCTTACAGCCATGCTAGTGTCTCTGTGGGGCTGTATTTAACAGTGATGCTTTGAGCTAAATGCTGATGCCACAATGACAGTGTTGACATGCTGATATTTAGCAGGTATAGTGTTTAGAACAATTTTGGTTTAGTTAAGAATGCCAACATTTTCTAATCAACACTAAACACATGCCACTTGTTTTCCAGGTAATTGCTCATGAGCCAAAGTATTAGAAGAACACAATGGTGCTGAATGCAAATTTAAGGGATGACTTAAGTCTAGACAATTCACTCTGATGGGGACATGTTCAACATTTCATGAAAACTCATTAAATAGTTAGCACAAATGTCAACCTCGTGGTGGTGCTAAAGGGAAAGTCAAGGGATCACAAAAGTGGCCAGGGTTCATCTTCTGGGAACCAGTGACAAAATTTTATAGCAATCCATCCAATAGTTGAGATATTTCAGTTTGGACCAAAGTCACAGACCAACCAACTGACTCATGCCGTCCATAGAGCCATAATGCAAGCATGCCACAACCCATCAGATTTATCTTTCCAACCACTGCTAAGCAGGTCTGGAGGCCAAGCTGTAACTCTGAATTACACCTACTTGCACACAACTTAGCAGTGAAATAAAAAATCTTCCGAAAGCTCCGTCAACAAGCCAGTTAATGTGGAAGCCATTTGAACAGGCAACCATAACAATGAAAACAAAACAAATACTATAAAAAGTTCTCAACAATCCCCTGTAACAACTCCAACGACTGCAGATGAGGAGTGAAAGTGTCTTTGCTTCTTGTTTTTGGTTTGCTCATTATTATCCATGTTTTACGACCCAGGAAGAGGCTCAGCGTCTTAAGTCTAATTGACCGTTGTTTTATGTGAAAGCACAGCTTGTGTCGCTCTAAAACAGAGTTGATTTTATTTCCAAGCTAAGAGATACTGCAGTGTTTATTAGGCAAACAAAAGTCACTGAGCAGTGGTGGGAGGAGAAGAGGAGACATGACAATAGAAGATAGAAAAAGAAGAAAAATGAGAAGACTTAGAAAGACAATATATAAGAGGAAAGGTGGGGAGTGAAAATAAGTCTTTCTACACTGTACTCAACCTTGAATAATTTACTTGGTTTTCACTTTCAGGCTATGCACACAAATGAGATATCAGAATAGGTTATGCTATTGGTAAATTCTATCATCTGGAATGTCAGTGGTTTTTATAGATATGCCTTTATTTGATAGAGACAGCTGAAGATCGACAGGAAAGGTGGGCAGAGAGAGAGGGGATGACACGCAGCAAAGGTCGGATTCGAACCCGGCCGCTGCAGAAACTCAGTATATGGGTCGCCACTTCTACCGACTGAGCTAACCGGGCCAATTTTAACCCCACAAATGTTGTGATGCATTAACATTAACAAAAACGATCTGTATGAAATGTGTGTAATGCTACGGGTTGAAGTACTCACACTAGTGGTTTCATTACACACCTATCCACATGCCATCTTATATACTGTACACAGGTTATATACACCTTTACTTTTTCACATGAAGCAGCAGAGGCAACAGTGGCATTGACCAGGAATGTAATAAAGAGAGTCAATGTGGAAAGCAGCTCACTCCAGTACACTTAGCTAATGGACAACAGTGTGTGTGTGTGTGTGTGTGTGTGTGTGTCCTGCTAGCAAGTCCTTCATCTTGGCCATGGCTCTTATTGACTGTATTGGAGGCCATAAATCATTGTGTGTGTGTGTGTGTGTGTGTGTGTGTGTGTGTGTGTGTGTGTGTGTGTGTGTGTTTTGTATACGGGCCGATGGTTCTCTGAATGTGAGCAGCAGCACACAGCAATCTCAGGTCAGGGAGGCAACAGAGCGAGCAGTGGTCTGTGTGTGTGTGTGTGTGTGTGTGTGTGTGTGTGTGTGTGTGTGTGTGTGAGGGAGATAAGCGTGACAGAGCAACAGTAGCCAAAGTGGCCGACGGGCCATTGGACAAGATGTACCTGTCTGTCTGTCTGCTTCACACCTTCTTCTCACACTGATGTAAATGCTTTACACATTAGTGCACACTTCAGTCACAAAGACATGAGGCGCGTGCACACGCACACACACACACACACACACACACAAATAAGTATAAGAACAGATATGCAATTAAGCAGACTCCTCAATACTGCAGTGGGTGTTCTTCCTTGCCTTCCTTAACCCTACTTAGTAAATCTCTCCACCTTTTTTATCCATCTCTCCATCGGCCGTGATGGTGGGTCGAGTGGTGAACTGTATATGACGTTAACTGCCCTCCATTAACATTTCCCAGGGTGCTACTGCAGTGAGCAATCAAATGGAGCAGTCAAGCAGATGTACGGTGGGCAGCCCATCATATGTGTACACACACTGTCATAGAGAAGGCCATCTATGACACCACTGGGAAACAACACTGTTGACATTTCAGACTCCTAAATTGCAGTGTGTCAATGCGGGGGCGCAGAAAGGTCTGGAAATAAGCTGCATTATCACATACTATCACTGAGTTATAGAGATGTCACTGTGGAAGGCCCAAATGCTGCTGAATCCATATCTTCTTATTGATCCATTCAACAGTTTCTCTCTTTACAATGGCATTTGGCAAAGAAAGACAACCATCTGAATAAAAGTTGGAAAAGGTCTGACATGTTGGACGGACCTGACTATGTTACAACTTCTCTTTGTATTATTTATGTTTTCTGTTTTTGGTAGGATATTCTCTTTGCATTTCCCTGGACCCTGTGTTCTTGCTGGCAGAGGAATTCATGTTGACGGCCCATTACTGTAATATTCCTCTAGGCCCTGGTCCTCTATTGTTTTACCTACAACCTACTTACATGTTCCATATTCCTTCAGTAATGGCCATTTCAGTTTATTTTGATTAAATCCCACCTACACTGCCCTGCTGCTGTAAATACTAATGCACCAAAACCTTGCCCCATGTTCTCAAACAAATTCAATTATTGTGTTTAGGTCATCATGTGTCAGATTGATGCACGTGATCTAAGGACTTCATCTATTTTGGGGTTTTTTTGCACTAACATGACATTTTTACACAGAAAACAAGGACACAAAAAAAACATACAAGAAAAATTGGACATATGAGGTTTCTGCCCAACAGCACCTAATCTCCACTCCTCAGTGTTTATTTTGATTAAATCTGTGTAAGGCAACGGCTGTGACATATTTCTGCATGTCCCATTTATACTGCAACTATTTACTGAAGTATTTCTTTCTAAAGGTAGAACTTTGTTGCTGCTTCTTGCACATATTAACCACCCGGTTATTTGTACACGGAAAACATACAATTCCTCTCTGCCTGAGCACAAGGGCATTTTCCTTGCAAAATGGCATCAAATGTTTAGAGCAGGAAAGATAAATGTCACAAACTGCCTATTGGTTGGATCCTTTCTTGGTTATATCAGTCTTGTAAAAGACAGAAGCAAAACAGAAATGCATTCATGATATTGTGTCACATTGTTACTTACGCTTAATGTGTTGGAGTGGATCTGGTGTTTCAATGGGCCTGAAAAAAAAAAAAAAAGACATGAGAGATGGAGGAATTGTGAACTACCTGCATTATTAAATACAGTGGAAATTCTTTTTGTCCAAGCTTATGAAGTGGGTTCTCCAGGAGCCTTGAAAGAGTCAGAGAGGGGGAGAGAGAGAGAGCTGGAAAGAGGTGGAGATGAATAATATTTTACAAACTCTCTCCTCTGCTTCTCTCTCCTCCCTTGAGAAGGACGCTTTTGTATCACCTCTTACAATACTTCACTTACTGCTCTTCTGCTGAAAATAGCACAGATAAAGGCTCAGAGAGTATGCCAGTGAATCCTCAACATCCTGCAGATGGACAAAGTGGGTAGATGTGCATTTCTGTCAGTGTGTGTGTGTGTGTGTATTTGTGTGTTAGAGAGAGTGTGTGTGTGTGTGCATGTGTGTGTGTGTGTGTGTGTGAGAGCAACTTATACATAAAGTCTCAAAGATGGAAGAGAGAAAAATACATGACGAGAGGAAGGATAATGAAAAGGTAGAGACAGGAAGTCAGAACTATGACATGCTTTCAAACGGTCTTGAACTTGTTACTCAAAAATTAGGTAAGTTACTCTTTACTCATTTCAGAGGTAGCCTTTATTATTTCACCTATTATTATGTTCCTCACTGTATTTTATGCCTGGTATGCTGAGAGTGAGCCTTTTGTCTTTTAACAACCCGTCAAAACTCAAGATCCTCCAACCTAAAGAGTAAAAACAACGTCATTTTGTCCAAAAACATCCCTATTAGCACGATAACATCATCATGCCGTCCAAACTCCATAGGACTGTTGCAAAAAAAATAAATACATGAATAAATTCTGATCTTCAGCTGCTACATTTAAGGTTGGGTTGAGTTGAGGAAATGAAATCAATATATAAAACGTTGTCTAGGTTAAAGGACAAGCATGCCAAATCTGGTTGTACACATTGTACTACATGGCCAGCATTCCAGTCTTCTTCTTCAAAAATGGCAATGAGTAAATTCCAGAGGGGTAAAAATTCATCTACATTAATTATAAATGTGTGCGGGCTTTCCCTGAACTGAGCCAGAGGTCATGCCGTTCTGTTACCGAGGTACTGCTCCACTGCATCGGGAATTACTTGGTTAAAAAAAAGAGCAGTGGAGTGAGGGGGCTGTTATTTATTGATTTCTCAAGTGCAGCAAATGCCCTTAGTACTTACTATTTAAAAATAAGGTAGACTCTGAAAGAAATAGGCATGCAAAGAGAGAGAATGTGCAGATTTTGAACAGAAAGGCAGGCTGAAAGATAAAGATTCCTTAGATTTACTTTGCTAGTGCTAGAGTGCTCAGTCAATCAAGGAGCATTTTCATGTTGTCAATGTCATAATTCAGCCTTAAACTGAAGGACCAGTTGAAAATAAACAAACTCAACTTGAATGGACAAGGTACAACTAGATGTGTACTCTGTATAACAATTGATCCGTAGTTGTGCGGTTGAAAGTTGTTTGCCCTTCCACTCCGGCAAGGTCCAGCAGATCATATCACAATTTCAGACTCTTGAAACTCTTTGGTTTTTATTTGCTTCCTTGTATTTTTAATTATCTCTTAACTTTTTCTATTTTTAAGGTCCTGTGCAAGTGTCTGTCTTTGTAAAGCACAAAAAAAAAAAAAATCTCATGACTCATTTTCGTTTCCTTCCGATTTATTTCAGAAATCATTGTCAGAAATTCAAGATAAACCCACTTCAATCAGTAGTTAAAGCAACATTTGGTCCGATCTAACAGACGAGCTACTGTAGCTCAAACTGCTGAAACATTTAATAGAAACAGTTTGTTGGTATGGGACTGCAGAACATTCTGACTACCAGGGTGCTCAGGTGGACACAATGTTATGGCTGATCAGTGTATATTCATGTGGAAAAAGAACACCCTGTGAAGCTACAGTATAGGCTACATGTGAAATGTGTTTTGTTTCTTATGTGTTATGTTCACTTCCTTTCCCTGCAGGGCATTTGTAAAAGAAAGGTGGAAAGCCATCACAAAAATATCAGTAGTGTAATTATGTAAGGGGTGAGAAGAAAAAAAAAAGAGTGGGCGTGTGGGTGAGGTAGAGGGTTAGCGGAGATGAATAAGAACAAAAGACGCCTGCTTTCAAGCCGGAGATGAGACGATGAATAAAACGTTTTTTGCCGTGGCCCAACCTGTGGCTGTCTTTCATGTCTAATTTTCTCCATTTTCTTTTTTTCTTTTTCTTCTTCCGTAGTAACTTGATTATTAATTTTTACTCTTAAGCGCTGAAATGGCTGCCTTGGTAATAACTTTATTTCAAAGCTGCCATGATTCCCCATCTAATGTGCCTGACAGCACACTAGAGGTTTGTAATTGATATTTCCTTCCTTAGCCAGATGTCTTTAAGGACTGTGATTAGAAGGTAAGATGGAGTCTGAGTGGGCTCACTTGTACTGATTCTAAAGCTATTCTATTTTCTAAAAAAATAAAAAACAAAAAGGAACAGGTAACAATAATAGACTAAATGATAAAAAGAGGAATGTATTTGATGGCCAAGGGTAACCCGCAAAGAATACAATGTATCGGTTTCCAGATTAATATCTGATATTGAGCTCATTAAAGGAAAATTCTGTTTTTTTTTTTTGGTTGTTTTTCTTTTTTTGGTTTCTGCCATAATTTTTTATCACTTATGATAATGTGGTAGTGAACAAAGTAATTCCAGAGATGTGTAAACATGGCGACACTTGCTACAGAGACCAAAAGAGTGAGAAAAACAAGTAGTCAGATGGTAACACAGGTTGTAAACCATAAAGATATTAAAAAGGGAAAAGAAGTCCAGAAGATATTTAACCTTGGTTTATACAGCTGAGGTCTTTGAGACAACAAACACTATTAAGTAATGAGTCTTGTAGCTAAGCCCTGAAACAGTGGAAAACAACATTTAAAAGCAATTCTCATACAATTAAGAAAAAAGCCATGCAGTATCACACTGATAAAAACACATATTGTGTGAGCTATTAAAATTTAAAAATAGTTTTTCATTTTATTAGGGACACCTAAGAGTTCAACACAACATGATACAACACACAAAGTTCCTGAAAACTGTTTATGATCTATCCCCATTCAATTCCACTGCTGAACCAAAAACTAGATATGATTCACATTACAGTCCATGTATAGCAGAGCTGTTGACTCTAGTCCTCCATTAACTCATTATTAATGGAGGAAAAGGAAGTGGCCCTCCAGGGTGAACATGTAGTCAGGTGGTTCCCACTTTTGTGTGAATGAAGGCAGAGAGTCAGAATTGTTCCATAGAGCTCCTATGGAACAATTCTGTCAATGAGACAATGACTTGATAAGTCAGTTAATAACCTAGATCAGATATTGTCTCATGCGGGAAATCTCTATCAGCACAGCTTTCACTGAATTAATTCATCACATTGCTTAGCTCATATGCTTTGAGCATGAGTAGGCTCAATGAAATATTCAAACTAAGACAATTTGAGGGTTCATCCAGCTGCCAATAACTCCATCACAGCCAGTTGCTCTCCAGGCGCTACTTCTAATAACTCACAATCTTAAACATTCAGTTGTCATTGAATGCTGAAACATCAGCCTGCTTTGTGTGCACCTAACTGCAAAAACAAATATGAGCAGTTTTTATGGATACTGCGACACTACGGGTCACAGTATCGATAAAAAATCTTGGGTTGTGTTTACAGTTTTGAGGTAGTTTCTCAAATTAATTCTGAATTCTTGAAGTCTTGGTAAGGAATTAAAGCACTGTGCCTAAAAAGTCACAAACTTTCTCTTTTATACAGAGAAAATAAAGTATAGTTACCATCTGGCATTTTGAAACAAGCTTTTGAAAACCCTGAACCTGTCCCGCACCAATAAAGGGACAACAAATAACACTCTCCTTACATTTGATCAGCCATCACTACTGCGAGGGAATGTAAAATCAGCAATACAATGTTGTTGTCCTGTTTACCCACCATAATTTGCCCCTGAGCATCTCCTTGTTAATCAACCTAAGAACACACAAACACAGATTGTATGCATAGATGGGACACACACACACACACACACACACACACACACACACACACAGCACACACACATGCACACACACACCCCCACATGCACACACACACCTACACACCTCTCCAATAAAAGACTTTGCTTCTCACACTTCTGCAAAGTCAGACTAAAATATTTTGTCCATAAATGCCTGGGGACCTGAAGCACTTTGCATGTCATATAAAATTTCATACGCTGTCTAAAATCAGTGTAACAGGGGCTATAAAAAGCCTCATTCAATCACAAAGGAACACTGTGTCCCACAATAGCTCACATGGATTGATGCAGGATAAATATATACTGTGGTAAGCAGAATTTTTGATATATGTAGAGGCCAAATAATTAAAAAAAAAAAAAAAAAAAAACAGCGAGTTGTGGAATCTAATTACTGTATTTTGTTTTTCTTTATTTTATATTTTACAATATATTGTTTCTATGCATGGGTCCCCTTTTTGTTTGTCTTATGCACTTGCACAAGGACGTACATGCACACAGGTGCACACAGCTGACACCACCCACAGTCCTGCCAGTGGTTTCACTGTATTCCACTGATCTACAAGTAGCGGTAATGTGAAAAGAATTAGCATTAAGTTGCTATACAGCCACAAAATGTTTTAACAATGACACCAGTGTTTCTTATCAAACCTGCACCTCAAATGATAAATTATAATGGGAAAAGAATATCTGCCTGGTGAGCAATTGCTCTGGAGACTATTCAGGTGAGTTTAAATAGTGGTGTCCACAAAATGGTTTTAAGCTCATGTCTTAATAGTACACCTTTTAGCATAGCACAATCAGTTTTAGTAAGCAAAAAAGTACAGTTAGCTTTCACAGTTGAAAAGGTTCAGGTTATATCCCACTAAAGGGGACAACTATCCCACCTGCTGTTGTAAATTTGTACCAGCATTGGGTAGTAACAGCAAAGGATGATTTGTCATCA